TGGAACATAGTGTTAGTATTGTAATGAAAATTGGATGGAATGATCACAGAAGCAAATAAACCATAAAGTGTGTTAGAGACATTATTTATTTATTTTTTCTTGTAATTTTTTTATCTTTTCTTATTGCTTTGTTTTTATAACGAGGGGCATTTATTTTGACAAGGTTACAAATATGTGATCTCCATAACTATGAATTGGGTTTTTTCTGTTCTAAAATGAGCTAACTATTTTTATTAAAACATTGTTTACAGTATAAAAAATTCAACCAAGAAATAGTGCATGAGATTCTGGAACAATGGCTACCAATATATTGAGGAAAGCTTCTAAATGCTGCTTTAGCAGTGGTTATCGCCTTTTCCATAGCTACTCGAGGTCACCCAAATCATCTTCGTGCTTTTCCCCTTTCCAGTTGCATGGAGGTTCACCCATCGCTTATCTCCCCAAGGCCACAAAATTACCTTTGGTAAGAATGTCAATTGTCACATTTCTGTTTCCTTGTTTTGTAAATTAGTACTTACATTCATGTCTGAGTTTGTTAGCTGTATTAGAATTGCAGAGGTCGTGTCTTGTTTATTAGAGATGGAAAATATGTAATTAAGCATTTTAGCTATATCTGATGGTCTCGTCATATGTACCCAAAAAAAGAAGAAGAGGTTTTTGTGATAATTATATGAAGTAACTGCCTATTTAGTCTGCCTTTCTATCTACTTATACATAATTGTCACTGTGTACTTCCGCACCTTGTTTCCATGACCATAGACTTTTGGACATTGTGTACTAGTTTTTATAACACATGATATTTACTCTATAGTCGTCTGTTTGTTCACTAGTGGCTGCTTAAGTTTGTTCTTTTCACCTATGTTTTTTATCTGAACTCTTGGTGTTGTCCATTTTTTGTAGGTTAACCCCCTTGGTTGTGCAAATCATACCTTAATGTGGTCCTTTAGATACCTGGCTACCAGTAGTTCTCCCCCCCAAGATCCTGTTAATGAGAAGCCCGAAGTTCCTGTTAAAGAGAAACCCATGGATGATGGTTCCACGGAAGGGGAGAAGGCCAAAGGTTCAGATGACACTGGTGCAACAGGGAAGCCTGTTCGAGGAGGGGTACTCATTTATTTTCATTATTAAATATCACTCAGTAGCATTGATTAGCTTTACTAAATGGGCTGCTTGAAACTTTTAGGACTTATCTTTCCCCTGTTTGAGGTCTAGTTCCTCATGTGATATTATTGAGATTACTTTTTAATATTGACCTCTTAATGTTTAAAAGGAAAAAAACAATAGCTTGTTTTGTGTATTTCCTTTCTACTACCATCTTTTTGTACACTGGAATTACATTTGGGCCACACTATCTTCTTTTTTAAATGCACTTCATACATTATTCCAACTAGCCATGAAAACATGCTACACATGTTTCTATTATGTTCAAGATTAATGAAACATATAGAGAAATTGAAGATGGAAACAAATAATTTCACAAGTACTTGTATTGGAAGGAACAAAACTTATAGATATTAAAAAAATTAATAAAGATAATAAATTTTTTTCTAAGAGCTTTAATGACATTGAGAAATATCCATGCTCGACAGCTATCTAAAACATTTGGGTACTTGTTATGCGATCCTACCAAGACAATCTATGTGAACCTAGGAGAAACAACCATTTAGGCTTGAATGATTGGCATTTTTATTAGAATATAATGCCTTCTAGTAATATGTTCCTAGTACTGAAATGGATATTGTGCGATCTGAGATGATCTTGATGCAATATATTGATCAAATAATTGGGATAAATTGCCTGTGTTTCTTTTCGGTGATGCCCATTTCCTTGGAAGTCTTCTAGGATTAATCTAACACATGGGATGGAAGTGATGTGTGGGTAAGTTTGTTAAACAAAATATCACTTTAATATTCTTACCAAGTATAGTGACATGATTTGAAATATGGTTGAATACTTTTTCAATGTTATGAAATACACTGTTTTATAGTATATCAGAACATGCTATTGAATGCACCCTCCCTGTGCGTTCCTCAATTTATGGGAGATTTTTACCTATGTTATTTTTTTTTATTGTAATTATTTTCAGTTAGTGTGTGCGGGGTGGGGATATGAGCTACAGTGCTTGATGAAATGGGATTAAGAAAACGTTGTTCTATACAATTCTCTCTTGGGAGGATGCTGTTGCTATGCTCCATTGTGATATGCTAGAAAAGGGGAGTGCTATTCCTTTTAGCAACTAGAAGTTGGATTGAGTAGCATGCCTTCATGTGAGTATTGGAAGTTGTTGCACGCACTAGGAAGAAAGCTTTGGTTTGAGATACCTAAAATCTATCCAATATAAAGTACTTCAATAATATTTTTGCAATTACTCTTTATTGAAAAATTCCAATGCCTCATGGAAACGTGTCACCTATGGTGTGAATGTACTGATGTCCTATGAATAGCAAGCTTTAACTTAATTAGTTTAAACTTGCATGTTCCTTGGAAGTGTGTTTTTACTCTTTTATGTAATATTTGCATGTCATGGATGGAGTTCATGTGGCTACTCCTCTGGGGGCCTAACAACAATGAATGTGAGCATGTGTATCTGTTCCCCTGTCGTGGGTGGATGCTACCTGGTAGAGGCTCACTATTATTTTATTGATGAATATTATTGTAAATTATGTGGGGCATGTGATTCTGTGGTTATGGGTTGATGTTGTGTGACCCTTGTTCCATGATCTTTCATTCCTCAAGTGGCTTCTACTTTTTTTATTTATCAATTTTGTTGTTCTTAATGTGTATTGTTTTTATTGGATCTTTCTTTGTGGCCTCATGTTGGTCTTGGGATGAGTGGAGTTGGGAAGGCTTGCTAGGATTTTAAGAAAAAACTTCAAATAAACTTAAAAGACACTGAAAGACTAGATTGTGTCGTGCCTCTTGTTTAAACACTTGCTAGTGCCCATACTGAGTTTGCTTGGGTGGGTCTTGATTCTTATTCCCTAGTTTCCAAGAATTACTTTTGTACAAAATTATTTGTTAAGTGTATGACAGATTGTTTTAGCTTTGCTTTTGTTATGTGTTGTTCATATTGGACATTTAAAGGCTAATGAATACCTTTAACTTGGTGTTGCAGCCTGTCTCATGGTTAAGCTTCGTCTTGTTGGTCTTGACTGGAGCAGGGCTGATATTCTATTATGACAAAGAGAAGAAACGGCATATTGAAGGTAGATTGTGACGGTGAGTTGGGATTGGTCGATTTTGTATTTAAGCTACCACGATATAAGCCATGAAGAGGCTTATTGTGATGCTTTGTGTATGTGGATAAATAGAAATGTTTATGTACTAATGAGGATGGCATTATTGTACTTGCTGCTTGTTGCTATTCCTTATTATTGATTCCCATAGGAACACTTTTTAAGAGGGTGATCATATTCCTCATTTTTTTGCATTGTTAAGACTTTCATGACCGCTCATTTTCTAAAATATTATCGATGTCTCACTTTTAATTCTTATGCCTAAAATCCTGGTCTCATATGTTTGATGTCAAATTTTAAATTCATGTTTAATGAGAGAAACATTATTTGCCTAATTTTCTTAGGGGCTCTGAGGTCTACAACCTTTGTTCCTTCTAAATATCTCTCCTTTCTGAGCTTGGCATATGCAACCTACCCCCCTCTTAGTGCACCACTATCTGAAAGGCTACCAAGTACCAAATAACTAACTCCAAGTAAACTATGCGATGGATGATTTTGGTCTCCAGCTTATACTCGAAAATTTCGACGGAGCAAGTGTAACCTCTGCCTTATTTCCTGTGCAAACTCATTGATCAATGGTAGGGGTAAGTGTCCCGTTGAATTGTAATCCGGACGGGGGACTGGTTGTCATCGCTCTCGTATGGATTACCGACAGTGCCGGCTTGAGAGGCACAAAATCAAGAATCCGCTAGAAGATTTGAGAAAGAGTTTTTCGGTAAAAGCGGGGAAGAAAGATGTTTGTAAAACGACTGAAAATAATTAAGAAAAAACTGAGATAATGGGGGGCTGACCTTAAGTTAGGCTCCCATACCCGACACTTAGAGTCGGTGGCTGGTTCAGGATCGTGCTTGGTTTGTTAACTTGTTCCGATCCTTCAGAGTTCGTCGGGCTAGAGGTATCCGTGTCAAGAGGGGTTTAGGGTCTGAAGGGTGTTGGTATTAGAGTTTAGGATGCCGGGCTTGAGGTTCGAGTCTAGGGCTTGGACAGGCAAGCCTGTGATGCGGCAGAGTTTCGATTCTCATTTGTCAATTTTGGGGTTCCAAAATTGGAGGCTAGTGCACCTACTTATAGACAAAATCCCTTTCAACAATGTCACAAAGTTTTCGATTTGCTATGGGCCATCGGTTTGCAGGGACTGGCGTTGGCACTGGTAATGCCGTGACTTTAGTGCCACATAATCATTTCAAAGTAATGCCATCAGTGCTAACGCTGTAAGTTAATCATTATGGCGTGCGTAACACGTTTTCACCCATTAATGAAAACATTGTTTCGGTGGGTGGCTTGCGATTGGGGTCATGATTGGTAGCGATGCCACCAGTGACGCCGGCGTGATCATCACTGATACCGGCGCCACTGACGCCACATTCCTAGTGGTGTACAATGTTAACAGTTTGGGCTTGCTTTTTTTCGAGCGTTGTTACCGCAGACAGGCGTTGGCACTACCAATGCCAGCTTTAATGATTCCATTGCTAATAATTGGTCCTATCCCATTTAATGAAGTCATTGTTTCGCATGTGTAGGGGGTTGTTGTTATTCAGCATTGCCACCTCCGATGCCGGATTTAGGGGAGATCAAAGAGTATTTTTTACTTGTAGGGCCCATCCCTAGAGTATTTTCCTTGGTAAATTCGTCTTAAGAAATTTTTTGAATTGTATAGCTTTGCTGAATCCTTCCTCGAGTGGTATTGCTGAACCTCTTTTCCTGAGAAGAAATGATCGATGGCCCTTTTGTTTTTTCTGTTACAATCCTCTGTGGTGTGGAGGCGGGACGTTTGTTGCCCCCAGGAACTTTTGGCTAGACACGTGAGATCGAGATTCAAGGCCCATGTAGCTGCTTGTTTGGGATGGCTTCGTTGCTGTGAACACCAAGTGTTGTTGATAATGGTGTTAGAGGCAGATGGCTCAACCGAGATGATAGACACTCATTGTTTTGGTGGTATCGACCATAATTGTCTTGAAGTCATAGTGAATGGAGAACGGCTTGATGTCGGGGCTTACGCTTTTCTCTATAGCAAGTGCACTAAGATCCTCCGCCATCTCTTCATAGCACGACACTGCGATAATCTGATTGCCCAGACAGAGGCAATTCGGATGGCCTATGATGCACTCAAGAAGGGGAGAATGCCCAACTATTTAGGGAAGTTGTAGAGAAGATAAATGGGGTCTTACCACTCAAAGCACATTTCCTGTAAGCTGATGCCAGGGTTATGGGGCCTGAGCTTGTTCTTCTTGCTTGAACATAGCCTTCCCCGGTCCTGAGGATGTATGGAGAGTCATCCCAAAGTTGTCCGTGGGATTGGACGGTGTTTAGAGCAAGGAATAGAGTGGTGATGCTGACACCAACGCCGGCGTCATTGGTGGCAACGACAGATACAACACATCACAACAACTTTTTTACCTGTATACACCCATGTCAATGGTTGCTTAGTTAGGCCATATGGCTTCGAATTTTGGATTTTTAGTGCCATGATTGCTGGTCGACGTCATACGTTCATAGTTTGGTTTGGTGCATAAGTGTTGAATGGGGAATGATTATTCTTGGCAATGGGACCGCGGGCGTTAGTGGTAGCACCCGGATGTCTTAAGCCTCGAGTTTTGTTTCAGGCCCCGGGTCTATCAATATGGGTCCTCCACGTGCTTAGCTTTACAATTCAGAAATTTTCTTAAGATTTCAAGAAAAATATTCTAGGTATGAGCCCAATAAGTGAAAAATACTCTTCGAACTTCCTCAACATCGGCGTTGGGGGTGGCAACGCTGAGTAGAGACAGCCTCCTACACCTGCAAAACAATGATTTCATTAAATGGGATAGGACCAAGTATTGGAAATGTAGTTATTAAGGCTGGTGTTGGTAGTGCCCATGCCTGTGTCTGCGGCGACAACGTTCGAAAAAAACAAGTCCAAACTATCAGCATCGTACACCACTAGGAATATGACGTTAGTGGCGACCACGCCGGCGTTAGGGGTGGCCTTGCTGCCAATCGATGAGACCCCAATAGCAAGCCACCCGCCAAAACAATGTTTTCATTAATGGGTGGAAGTGTGTTACGTAAGCTGTAATGATTTGTCGATAGCATGAGCATTGATGACGTGACTTTGAAATGATTAAGTGATGTTAAAGTTGCGGTGTTGCCAGTGTCAACATCGGCGTTGGCACTAGTTTTGCTACAAATCGACGACCCAAATCATATCAAAATTTGTTTGTTACTGTTGAAAGGGATTTTGTCTATAAATAAGAGCCTTGGCCTCCAATTTTGGAACCCTAGAATTCACACATGAGAGCTGAAACTCTGTCACATCACAGACTCGCCTCGATCTTCAAGACCCTTAGTTTGAGCCTTAGACCCGAACCTCAAACTTGGCATCCTAAACACTAATACCAATACCCTTCAGACTTAAACCCCTCTTGACACCGATACTTCTAGCCCAGTGGACTCTGAAAGACCAGAACTAGTCGGCACACCGAATATGATCTTGAACCGGCCACCGACTTTGGGTGCCTGGCTTGGGGGCCCGGCTTGAGGTCACCCTCCCTTTTTCTCTACTTTTTTCATAATTATTTTCAGTCTTTCTACAAAACTTTTCTAAATCTCCCCCTTCTGTCGTAAAACTCTTTCTCAAATCTTATAGTAGATTCTCGGTTTTGTGCCTCTTAAGCCGGCACTACCGGTAATCTGTACGAGAGCAATCCGATGGCCAGTTCATTACAATTCGACATGACCCTTATCCCTACCAATGATCGACGAGTTTGCATGGGAAATCGAGGCGGTGGCTACGCTTGCTTTGCTGGAATTTTTGCGTATAAACACCTAGGTACTTACTTCTCATGGGAGGAGAACTTCTAAGTTGTCATGTTAATCCTTAGAGTATTCTAAGTCCTCATAGCTGCACTGGACTTCAGCTTCTAATGATTCTATTGTGGGTGGTTGCAAAGTCTGGCCTCTCGGATGGAAAGTTCACCACTACGGACAGCCTTATCATATCAACGCTCAAATCTCAATATTCTTGTGCAGTGTAAACCATCTTCCTATAGCCACTCTAACATTCATTATTTATTCAAATACCTTTGGCTTTATTCAGAAAACTGTGGAACTTAGAATTTGAGCATTCTATTGACGACTCTCTGAAATGACAACTTTGAGAAACCTAACCTGATTCGAAAACTCTTAATCAACATATGATTTGATCTCACTGTTTCCTAGAGTGATTTTTCTCACCAAATTAGCCATACTTTTTCCAATGCATTCTTGAATTTTTTGAACACTAAGGTGCATATTATTATGAAAGACTCACTGCAATCATGGAAAATGTGCCTTGAAAATGAAAGTAATTTTGATCTTGTGGATGAGAATCACTGTCCTGCATCTGCCTATCCCCATTACAAAGAATCCAAATTTGAAAAATACTTGTCATTATAATTAGTTTTTTTTACATGCTTGTTATTTGCAACAAATATATTAATTTTTTAGCTTATGAAGTTGACACCAGTCATTTATGCTTTATGCCTGGTCAGTGCTTGTCCTATTGCTTTCTGACTAGTTTACATACACATGTCGGCTAGTCTTATCTAATGCACTATGGTTTCACTGGTTTATGTGCAATGAATATTAGATCAGACATTTTTATTCAAATATTCAACAAGTTGGTCTAGCCATAACTCTTTCCTTAGCATCATTTTTTTTATCTTTGATTTGTGCAGAAATAAAAACCTCCACTGCAGCAGTGAAACAAGGGCCATCTGTGGGGAAAGCTGCTATTGGCGGCCCATTTAATCTTGTCAATCAGGATGGGAAACCTGTAACAGATAAAGATTTTCATGGGAAATGGACATTAATATATTTTGGCTTCACTCACTGTCCTGATATTTGTCCAGATGAGCTACAGAAGATGGTCTTAGCAATTGACAAAATCAGTATGTTTTGTTTTTGAGAGAACTTAATTGACAAAATCAGTATGTTATCATCACTTATTTCTCTTAAATCACTGTAACCTTAAATTTTTTCTTTTCTATTTGGTTGGATAATGAGGGTGGTAGTCTTTATTTTTCTGATTTTGTGTTGATAAATTTCTGTTTATATCCATATTCAGACTTCAGGTTTTCCTAGGACAGGTCTTTCTAGCCCTGTTTTTTTTGGGAAAACTATTTTATGTATCAGATGAAAGATCGATCTTTACATGGCTCCGGGTGCTTGTCACAGACATAGATACCAAAAAATTCCCCCAACATCATAAATGGTGGGGTCTGGAGCTCATATGTAAGCTAGAAGCAAAACGAAGGGCCATACAGTCCCACAACTACAAAAAATGGTGGGAACACGTTCCCCCTCCGGGCATGAAAAGTGACCTGACCGTAGTGGATTCCCTGCATCACCCTCTATGCTGAGAGAGTTAATGATTTAGTTTACCTCTTGCCAGATGTGTCTGAAGCTGATGTAGGTGCCTGCAAAGGTAAAAGATATGGTCAAACAATGTGGCTAATATAGAGGGACATTGGGCTTTCTTGGACGCGCATAACCTAGCATTATTTCGGTCTCCCTTTACTATAAGGGTGTTGCCATTGCCCCCATTTTGATGGTCTTTTCCCATTCCTTTGAGCATAGCAATGTTTGGGTTAATGTTGAGTGAGTCAACAAGCTCCAATAATTTATTTAGCCATGAAGTATAACAGAAGGCATGGTTTGTTGGTACAGTGACTTATGATTTGCTGAAATAGTATAGATTTACATAGTGGACTTGTGCTGGGAAATATTCAGGGGTTTTGCTTGGGGAATACTTGGTGATTTCCCCCCCCCACACACACTTAATATGTATTCTAAAACTTTATTGGATTATTTTGACCTCTTTGGTGCAACTTGACCATGGGCCGTTGACTTCACATGCTTCTCTATTGCCTCTATAGAGTGGATTTCTTTCATTTGGGGAATGATAGTGACTTTCTAGGGGTGGTTGGAGGGTAGAAAGAGAAGAGTTTAATGAAATTCATAATGCATGGTCAAAATCAGCATTTTTATTTAGTTTATGATATTTTTTAATGAAATTTCATAATGCATAATCAAAATCAGCATTTTTCTTTAGTTGATGATATTTTTTAATGCAATGCCTTATTTTCCTTAAGAAGTAGGATGGACGTTACAAAGTAGTTGAGGAAGAAGCTTCCCCCCTCCTTACACCTGGCACCCATTGCTCCCCTTCTGGCCCCTTGTGCCAACAGACCCCCTTGCCCCATCCTGTTCTTTGTTTCCTCTCCCACATTGTTCCCAAATCCGCCCGATCTAACCGCTAACCGCCCGGTTAGATCTTCTGGTTTTGGGCAGCAAGGGTGATCAACTGGTATTTAAAAAAAAAATTTCAAAAAATTATATATAAATTCTTAAAAATAAGGAATTTGATTTGTAATGAATTTTTAAATGTTCTTTACATTATGGTAAAGATTAAAAATTGTTTTGGTCATTAATACTCACTTTTATATTTTCCCATATTTTTTAGAAAATTTTAAAACTAGCCCTTGGAAAATATAAAATGGGTTAACATCCATTTTTTTCGTTAATTTTCAACTTCATTTGAATGTGTTTTGTTTTAATCATTCTTTATATGCTTTTCATATTTAGTGGATGTTTTTTTTGTATTTTATTTTATTTTTTTTCAACACTTTTTTGACTGCTCGGGAACTTGCCCGGTTAGAGCGGTTGATATAGCCTGTTTACTGGTTAGGCCGGTTAAACCGCTTTCAGGCCCATGTTCGGTTAACCGTTCCGGCTTTGATTTTGCGAAGACTGCTCCCCCATTAGAAACCAACCGGAGAATCTCCCCACCTCCTTCCACCCAACACCCGTCAATCCCCCTTCTAGCCCCTCCTCATTCCCCTCGCCTCCCCCAAATGCCCCCTTTCTCCATTGGTCCATCCTTTTCTTCCTCACTTCCCCCATTTTGAAACCAACTTGAATCGGATATCAACTTGGAGAGGAGAGCTCAACACCATACCCTTCCATGGATGAGGTCAAAAGCTCTCGCAAATCGTTGGAGAAAAAGTGTGAACATGTTGACATTTGATTGATCCAAAACCAACAATGCAAAGTGGGAGGCTAATGGTGATATTGCCAAAGGAGAAAATGGAGGAAAGCTTGAGAAAATGTGGAGGAAAGCTTGAGAAAGTCCTCATTGGGACTTTTTATGGCAAAAGATCGTAATGGTCTTTACTGAAATGAAATGATTAATCCCACTTAAAAGATACAAGTGAGACCATAGCCATCGGTATAGCCACATTCTATTTGCATTCAACCTAAGAGAAGACATGGAAAAGGTCCTCAAAGGAGGGCTATGGTTTGTAGGAGGTAAATATGTTGGTCCTGAAGGCGTTTAAATACCGATAAGCACTCTTGGCAAAGATAATTGGTTAAACTCCTCAGATACATGGCGACCTTCATTGGAAACACTGTTTTTTGGATCGTGCCACTTGAGATGGCAAAAAAGTTTATTATGCAAGGGTTTGTGTAGAAGTTCAACCTAATTCGGAAGTTCCTGCTAAATTATTGATTCACACTTTAGAAGGAGAAGGATGTACAGAGTAGATTGAATACAAGGGTGTGCCTCTATTGTGTTAACATTACACGTGCCTCTCGATCATGTAGAATGAAGAAGCAAACCTGGAAGAGCAATGGAAAAGATGGGCAATGCTTTTGAGTTCCTGTTGGTACTTTCAAGGGACTTGTTACCCTTGCGAGACAGAAAGGTAAGATATAAAGCACTCCTTGAGGGGATTTACCGTGGGCACGATAACTGGTACACCAGAGGTGCGTCCTTCCCGATCCTCTCGTACTAGGGAAAGGTCCTCTCAATGCTCAAATGCCCACACCGAATATGGACCGAACTATCTCACGACGTTCTAAACCCAGCTCATGTATCGCTTTAATGGGCGAACAACCCAACCCTTGGAATGTACTACCATCCTAGGTGGCGAAGAGCCGACATTGAGATGCCAAACCTTATTGTCGATGTGAACTTTGGGTAAGATCAGCCTGTTATCCCTAGAGTAACTTTTATTCGTTTGAGCAACAACCCTTCCACTCAGCATCGTCGGATCACTAAGGCTGACTGTCATCCCTGCTCGATGGGTGGTTTGGTGTGACGATGTAGAGCCGAGTGCCCCCACATACGGGATAGCACCATAGCGCGCCGGAAAGGGGGATAAGACAAGAGACACATTATAGAAAAGTGAAATATCGGAGTCCCCAACAAAAATAAAATTAACGAACTCATGGACAAAAAATTAAGATAAAAAGGGGTAAGACAATCATTGAAAAGAGAAGGCTCACTTACCCTTAGAATGGCCAGCCGTGTGGAGGGATAGCAGAGAGTCTCACAGGTGAGTTAGCCAAAAGGATAAGAGCGGATAGGAATGAAAAGTGGGGGAACAGAGGAGGAGGAAATAAGGAAGTACTGGAAAGTGCTTTCTTGCTAAAGGCAATGCTCAAAAGAAATTGGAGATATTAGCATGGATATAGATCAACTTTTCTCTTATTCCAACTCTTGCTATCATGTGTTGGAAGGAGAAACAATTGAAGAGAGAAGAATCAAAGAGGAGCAGGAAAAAGTGGAGAATGAAAAACGGGTAATCAAAGATGTTTAGGATAAAAATTGGTCAATTTATTTAGAAAAATGGCAGAAAACAAAGGTGAGGAAGAAAGAACAAAATTGTTGGAAAGAACAAAATTGTTGGAAGATGGAGAAGCATTTTTGAATGAGAGAATGGGAAAAAATATTTCAGGAAATAATAGGGAATGTATTTGGGATGGAAAAATGGAGCAATTTCTATACTGGGGAAAAAACGTGAAAGACGTGGGAATTTTTTGTAAAGAAGAGAGAAAATATGCCCATGACTTAATATAGGCGAAGTGTTGCCCAAGAATGAAGAGATGTGAAATGAATGACAAACACGGGCTCTGGGAAACAACTTTTTGACAAAAGAAACCTGTCCGCCTCTCATTGGGCTGTCAAAAACCAACTCAAGATCCAACCTCCAATTGGCTCTTTCAAACTTCAAACCGGATCTTGAAACCCAACGGATGTTTGATGTTTCAAAATCTGAATAAAATTTTGGTGGGTCACAAACTCACAATTAATGATAACTTATTTAGATATCTTTATTAGACTTATTAATGTATTTTTATTAGGTAAACTTGGAGACGTATTGGTGAGCGAAAGCTAATCCTTGTGTGCTCAATGAATTTGAAGGAAATATCTTTGGAGAAGTCCCATATTATCCAATGTAAATAGGAGATGGGTCTAAAATTAACTTAGTTCAATCCTTGGTTCAATGAAGGAACCTGTTATAACATGTTTTGGAAATCAAAATATAATTGGGTTTCTTGAGATCCTGAACCATCTTCCAATTCTTTGTTGGGAATACATGGAGGCTACCCCCCCACTCCCCACTCCCCCAACAAAAACACCAAAAAAAAAGAAAACGTGGGCAACTTGTTCGAGCTTGGAGGCTAATCCTGGAACGTTCCTAACGTGGGAGTGGGGAAGATGGAATCACATGTGGGCCTAATGACTATGGAGGAATCACCTCAAAAAGCCCTCTCGAACTCATTTGAGAATATGGGATCAAAACATAACATTAGAACCTATTGGGGATGAAGTCAATACATCCTAGAGCCTTGTAGTTCTCATGAGCAACTTTTTAAAAGAAGCTACAAACTTCTGATAGAAATTTAGAAAAGTGATGAATATATGGGGTCAATAATGAGTATCACCATCACTTTTTCATCAAATGTGCTTTTTTGGGCGTTTTCCTCAAAAAAACCAATAGGCTGAGGAAGACGAACATTTCTCCATCCATGGGACATCGAGGAATATGACATGGAAAATCCAAAATTGCATTATGGAAGCAAAGGCAATAGCCCCTCGGAATGAAGGAGAAAAAGTCATACATGAAAGATAGGAAATATAGATTTTCTATTGAGCTTGAGTGAAAAGAGTTGATGTGGTCAGGTTCCTATGTACTTGGGAGTGATAATGAGAGAATTGTAGTGAGGTCCCTTGTATGTGGAAGCCCAATAGTTATATAATAGTGTAAAACCATGGACTAGCACCTTGCCTCGTGTAAAGTTTTCAACAAATTAATACAATGGGTTGGGTTCCTGCACTAACCCCTCTAGTGTCGTCAAAAAAGGACATTAGTCAATGGTGAAGTGATGATAGTATGATTTGGATTGATACAAAAAGACCCATTTGTACGTTTGTTTCGATAACAGTGATCTACATAAGAAAGTTGTAATTGAGTTATTTCCTGGATAATCTATAAGTTGCCAATGAAGAGATAGAGGGATATGTATTAACACCTTGATTTTGTAAATGGGCTTGTTGAGTGATCATGGATAGGTACGTCATAATGCATAAAATTTCTAGGTCCTTTTTTGTCTACTATTGATTGAGTTTTCTAGTGAGGTAAGTTTTATTTTATGGGAACCAATGGCCTGTACATTTAATGAGCAATTCTCCTGGTCCTGAAAACTATTATGTGATAGTTCTGTCATTTCTTTCCCCCTTTACATCTGTTAATGTCTTATATCATGGAACTGGTTATTTTGATGTTGCTTTTTAAAACTGGGGATCTCATTCTGAATTAGCTGCTTCCTTCTTGGCATACAGAGCAGAAGGCAGGTATTGATATTATACCTGTTTTTATATCAGTCGATCCCGAGAGAGATACTGTTGAGCAGGTTCGCGAATATGTTAAAGGTGGGATGCTTTTGATATTTATCCTATATAAATGCATTTAGTTTGTTCGTATTGGTTTTGTTATAATCTTTTAATACATCTAAAGGATCCACTCTCTGCTTTTCAGCCAAATTTAGAAGCTCTGAGCGTACTTTTACAGCTCTATTGTTTCCCCTTTTCTAAATGCATTTATAAGAAAGTCCTTCAAACTTGTTGGAGACCCATTGTGAGGGAATTGTGGTGTATATGTTGTTGCATGGGAAGTACTCATGAGGATTAGGACTTACGGGTACTGTACTTCTGGCCAACATGTTACCCAAAGTTCAAATGTATTTCCTAAACATTTTTTTTGTTTTTTAATATGAAATTTCCTAAACATTTTTTTATGGCAGCAAATCCTCCTCAAGAATGTCTTCTTGATCAATTTCATTTTATTTTGCAGAATTTCATCCGGACTTAGTTGGATTAACTGGGAACACCGATGACATACGCCAAGTCGCTCGTTCATATCGAGTTTATTACATGAAGACAGAAGAGGAAGGGTCTGACTACCTTGTGGATCACTCTATTGTTATGTAAGCACTCTTCCTTTATAAGCAGCCAAACATGGTGCTCCCACAAGAGTATACGGTCCATTTACTCCCCTTGGGTAAAACCCCATCTAGGATTAATTTAGGCCCCATATTTTGGGGATCTAACGTCTTGAACCCCATATTTTGGGAATGTAACCTCTTCAACTCATAGATTAACCTCAATAAAAATAAAAATAAAATAAAAAATCCCGATTGCACGCTCTATGCACTTGAAAATAATAATGTCTCATAATTTAATAGAGACCGTCCAATTTTTGAGGTGATATTTAAGTGTAAGAAAACTCAAAATTTACATTTTTCTTTTGAGAATAATCATCTGATTGTTAGGTGGTTCCCAAATTTCAAATTGAAATAAATCATCCCAAGTGGGTCTTCTGACCGAGGGAGTAGCTATACACGTGGTTCCCAAAATTTTAAATTGAAAAAATCATCCCAAGTGGGTCTTCTGACCAAGGGAGTAGATGTACACTATGCTCTTGCAGTGAGCAAAGTATACATCCTTTATAAATATTAAAAAAAGTATTTGACTGCTTTTGCAGGGGAAAAGTTTATATAGAGCTGAGGCTCTAAACAATCAAATTTGAGCCTACCTCAAAAAGTTTACTAGAAGAGGTTGTTTTGATTCCCAAATATCTTCAAATTGATCATCTCGACATCAAGATGCATGGACATGAGAAAAAAATGAATTTCAAGTTTTGAAAATAGTGTATTTTGTAACGTATTTTTAGACCGTCAATTTTCAAGATTTTCAAGTTTTCATAGATCTGTCGATCTACACTATTTTTGAAGCTTTGAACTTTATAAATAAATATAAAAATATATTTTAAGGCTATCACAAAGATTTCCAGCAGTAAAACTTCATTTTTCAATACTATTTGAAGGTAGGCTCTAATTTGATTGTTTAGAGTTTAGGCTCTATTCAAACCGCACCCCTTTTACAGTGTACAACAAAGAAAAGTATTTTATCTTCTTGATTTTCATGGTCTCGTTAGGCTTAACAACAAATGAGTCTGGTTTTTGGTATATGTTCTGTCTTATGTCTATATTCTGGAGAAGTTGCAATGGTGATTCTTCCTATGGTTGTTTAAGACCTTGTGCTCTCATGGATTATGTTACTTTGGTGTGTAAATGGGATGTGTAGTCTGGAATGGCATTTTGCTGGCCTATCAAAGGTAGTGTCCTCAAGAAACATTTTGTGCAGCCAAGCTTCGTCCTTAATGCAACCTTTAAGAAATAAAAAAGATGGCAAGTAGTAGTAATGCTTGAATGTTGTTATCCATGACTATCTGTCAAGAATGCAATTTTTCTTTTAAAATTTTGAATTTTAAACATACTAATTATAGCTTACAAAAGGTCTACAAATTATCCTTTATGACTATCTTATTGGCAAACATGAAATCTGTTCAGTCAAGGGATTTTACTTCTTTACTGCACTAACTTGAGAGCCACAATATGCATACATGATGTACCGATTTCTGAGGTCATGATTCATACTTGGAACTTGTTGGAGAAGACAGATAGTTGTTCTCATGCTTGCATTGATTTGAGCATTTAAATGTCATTATATATTTTCTATGCAACATGTTACCATGAGCATGTAATGTGTAATCTGATCCTGAGTGTGATGCTGTATTCTCCTTGCAAAAGGAATTGGGAAATATACAAGAACACACTTTTATCTTTGGTACGAGAATGTCACAATCACTTCCAATTGTCAGATGTGAAATCGAATGGCTGGGGTGTACTATCGACAATGTTTGAAGTCCGAGAAAAATTTTCTCGGACTTTGTGTAGAGAAATGATGTATCCCATCAGCTGAATTTTTACCTGGCGGTTTAGGGTGTTAGCAACCTTGGTGTACATTGTATACAATCCCATAGAAATCATGGTGCGGTAAAGTTTGCATATAGGCCTGCAATGATTTTACGGCGGCCCAAAGCCTCAATTGTATATATTAACTCTATTTGATCTTCATTTTTCCAGGTACCTAATGGATCAAGAAATGGAATTTGTGAAATTCTTTGGGAAAAACTATGATGCAGACTCACTCTCTGAAGGCATCATCAAGGAGGTAAAACAGTACAAGAAGTGACCACAACACTTGACACAAGCAACATTTCTTTGCCATGTGCTTTCATTCTTTTGACTTGGATTTCTCATTTATCATTGCATCTTGTATGTTTTCTTAATGTCACATCTTGGAGATGGAAAATACTATTGCAAGTAATGCGCACCAGATAGATTTTGGGATGTTCCTACTGGTGAATCTTGGACAAAATAAATTGAGATGGAATTTTTGGAGTCTCATGAAAAGTTCATAGATTTAAAAGATATGTTTGTTACAGTTGGGCCAGCCATTATGAGTTTGTATCAACTATGATGTATAATTAGCATGCGTGTTATTTATTATCTTTTGGCCATTCGAGGTTGATTCTCATGTTATTATTATGATTGATATTATAATATTATTATTATCATTATTATTTTATTGACCAATTCAAAGATATTTAGATGAAATCCATGTCAAGTTAAAATTCACCTTTCGATGGGAGAATCTTTTGGCTATTTGTCGATAATTTACTAGTATTGAAAAATAACAAAACGGCAAGGTTTGGCAAGGCCGCGGCTTTAAGAAATTTGTTAGGGCCTCATCTCAACCATGCTGGTTAATCGGATCTGGGGCCGGAAAACCTTGTGATGGCATGTACATCCGTTTCTTGTCTTAAGGAATTTGTAGCTCAAAAAATGGTGTAGATCAGGTTGATTTGTGAGCGCTTGTGAGAGAAAAAAGTGCTTGTGAGAGAAATGTTGTAAGATGGATCAATTTTAAGGTTTTAAAATTATGAATTTTTTAGGTTTTGTGATTGGTGAAGTAGAGATGATCAATTTACAATTTTTTTTTTTTTTTGGTGCCTAGCATTGTGTTTTCCGGTGAGTAGTGTGGCACAAGTATATAAAGCCATCGATTTTCTAAGGTTTCAACCTTTTCCTATAGAAGTAAGGTGTACGTCAAAAACCTATTGGAATAAGTGATTCTGACATAGATTTTCTATGGTTTCAACCTTTTCCTATAGAAGTAAGGTGTACCACAAAAACCTATTGGAATAAGTGATTCTGACTCTCTGAAAAACCACCCTCTAATGGATCATTTCAATGTCAAGATGTATGGAGTCTTAAAAACGATGTATCTTAAACAATGTATCTTGTATATATTATTTGAACCATTCATTTACAACATTTGCAAGTGCTTATGACTTTGTACTATTTTTTTGTATTTAAATGTTCATAGTTGGCGAAAATAGATTTTCTGGCAATCCCAAGAATTTCCAACATTAGAAGTACATCTTTTTCAATAAGAGTTTCACACTATATATAAAGGGTGTGGTTTATATAATGTTTTACTTTGAAATATCAAGTTAAGGCGCACTTCCAAACTTAGTCATGGGAATGCAATTTTGGTTTAAAAAATTCGAAAAATGGTGTGATCATCAATTTTTATCTCTAATTATAAAGTTTTAAATTCTAAAAATAATTAAAATCAAACAGATTTATAAATATAAGAAGATCTTGAAAATGGACGGTTGGGGGAATTCGAGGTTACTAATGTAGTGCATAGAAAGTGCCAATTTATAGAAAGGGATATGGGAGGACTTTACATGTCCAAGAGAACCAACATTGAAAAGCCATTTCAAAAATTGTATTTTAGAAATGAGCAAATGATCCAATGTAACAGTTGTATTATAGTATAATGCAACGACCATTTTAGAAAATCATGTTTGTGGTATTTGTATGACCTCAAAATTTACATACATTCACTTCATCTCAATAATCAATCCCAAAAAAACAAAAAAATTTTTAAATTTAAACTCTAGATATGGTCAAATGGACACCTCCAAAAATGAATTTAGACCATTCATTTTGTGAATTTCAATATCTTAGCTTTTATAAACTTAAAATCATTTTTTTCTTTTGTAACTATTAGTCCATCTAATG